TGCCTGGCATGATTACTCCTAGCACTTCACAATCCCATCTAGTGTTTAATATTGGAGATTCTTTCCAATTCAACTACATTTCTTCCTTTTCTGTAACACTGGAGCTGCTATGAATGAGCTCCTATTCAAGTTCTCGAAAACTACACAGCCCTCTCTGCAGCAGCCTCCTCGCCACATGAAAGGAAATGGTAACAACTGCCATACTCATGGCAGGTTAATATAGCGGTCCCTACCCCTCTGAGACCCCCATGGTCAAAAACAGCCTGCAGTGAGTCAAAGGTGCTTCGACATTGATCAGATCAGCATTTCCAGTGGCCACTTCTGAAATGAGCTGGAAGAAGGTCACAACCCATGGCAGTTTACTTTTCATGAAGGGGTTCTTGTGAATAAGTCATGCGTCATGCTGTCAGGTTCATAGTATGTCTGACAACATACTGCTAGCTTTACATAAACACAGTTACATAATGTCAGGCCATGTTTCCAGGTGCTGATATTGAGCGTTTTCCACCAGTATGTTTATTCTATGAACCGAATTGTGAAAACAGACGTGTCCATGTGAGTGGCTGTTAATAGCATGTTTTGTTCAGCGAATATGATATATCAAGTGAGGAGACATGATCTTGAAACCCTTGGCAGGATCAGACAGGCTGCTTTCCTCTGTTGCAAACATGGTTTAATCACAAATGCTTGATAATTGAGATCATTTTTATCTAAACCATCATCTTCAGGAAATACTCAGACGAGTACTGCAAAACAAAAACAAAAGCCTAATGTAATAAGCCACTGATCTTGTCAGACCACCAACAGAAATGCTGGAGGCCCCTCAGAGATGTCCACTAACAATATGAGCAGTACAGATTAAATCACAGCCTGTTCTTGTTTTTCAGACTGTTTTATTTTTCCAGCACTTATTAAAATAGTGGCGTTATGCCTCAGCCATCCACATTAAAATGTCTATAAACTTCTAAGACTCCAAGTAATGCCAGATAATCAGCAGCAGTCAGTGCAAGTATGTGAAAGCATCCAACAAACAAACAATTTTGAAATACTGAACAGGAAATGTACACTGCCTGGCCACTTTATTAGGTACACCTGTACAATTCTATGCACTTCAATGCAACACTTCCACCTTAACATCTGTGTTTATGAAGCTCAAAATGTTACAGTTTACTGTTACAGATGTTAAGGTGGAAGTGTTGCACTGAATTGGATACAATTGTACAGGTGTGACTTTTAAAGTGGCAGTACATCTTTTCCTTATTATGTCTGGGCGAGTCAGAGAAAAAAAAAAGTCCATGTTTTTAACATATGTGTGCACTAATGGCTCCCAAACCTCTTCAGTGTTTCCTGGCCTTGAATAAATTGTAAAATGATTTATTTAAAAATGTTTTCAACGTATTTTCAGTAGTTATTCATTTTGTAAACAACTGTTCTGAATGAGAACATTTATATTTGAAATGAAAATCAAATGTTGTCAGTGGCCCTTGAAAGACAAGTCCAATTTTGCACAATTTATGGGTGCATAAACTGTGAAACTAAACATTTGTTCACAGGCTTAAGAGTTTAACAGGTCAGGTAGCGTAACTGTACATGTGCACTTCTAGTTGCATGTAAATCATTGGTATGCTCACTTACTGGTACAGCTGATTCTGTTGCAAGCAGGTTAGGTGATTGACATGATGCTGATCACAATTCACTCAGTCTAACACAACTTGTTGATTTGGTTTATTAATTCAGTGTTTTATTGATTTACCCTCTGTTAAGCTTTTTGTGGCTCAAAGTTTATTTTCAGAGTGTCACCTTGCAGCCCCTCCACAAGGTAAGTGAAACTGTATCTAATAGAAAAATGTTGTGCAGTTTACCCAGTTCATCTCCTCACATATGGTTCTCCTTATTGGTATTCTGTGGGTGGGCTGTGACTTGCATACAGCTCAATCAGTGCCTCCTGAAAAGGGAGACCACATGGGTCACATTTTTACATGTTGTTTGGTATGAAAACGCTGTAGTGAGGAATGTGTCCTCACAGAGGGCAACGCAGGAATACGCTTATGTTTGCTTGTTATTCACATGCACATTAGCTCCCCAAGTGAGCGATACAACAGAGTGAACTCAACTGCCACTTCCCATTACTACTAGAGGCAGCACCTGTGCATTTATATAGTTTCTGGAGTTTGACATCTTGCCATTTACTATGGATTTGACCAAATTAAAATGTATGAGAAAGGTACATTTCATCAATTAATACTGTTTAGATATACTTGTCTGAACCAATTTAATAAATAAACTACATTTAAACATGACTCTGCAGAAAGGATTTACATACATTTATTTTTAGAGGGGACAGAGAAAGTTCAAATAATTCTTCAGTTCTTTAAATTTAAAGATCTGACTCTTGAGTTAATCATCACTGTAGGAGCCAAGACAATTATTGGTCTTAAGTTATGTTTACAGTGTCGACTGAGGCTCAGCAGCAGAGCAATTGTCACTGTGTCTCAGTAAAAGCTCAGCAAGACAATAGCACATTGTTTACTGTTAAAACCTCTTTATTCAGTGGCTTTTGGATTGTATTTAAATCCTTTTTGTATGTCCAAAGGTTTAAAGATTAAATACACTCTAAACTGTTTGTCCTGTACATACAGTTTAATCACAGAGTTTTGTTGGTACAGTACATGGCATTAATCTTTTTCCAGCAAAATTCATATAGTATAAAAAAGACCTTTTCTGCTCAAATTTAGTTTTTGTCTGCTTGAATTTGAAAGTTCAGTTCAGCCATGTACCATAGGTGCAATACCAAGCCTTTCTCAGAGCAGCTAATTAAATTGTAGGGAATGTTCAGATCAGTCTCATTAGTCAGTTTCATCAGATATCAGTCTCATCTATGATTAACCACAATATTTGATTTTTAAATAACAATTAAAATGACAGAATAACTGAAACAACTAGGAAAAATATTAGTACTTAAATTTTGTTATAATTATATTTCAACCACAAAAGTAACACAGTGAATGTAACAAGAGTCACTTTGATGGCAGAGGCAAATATTAGTACTTAAATTTTGTTATAATTATATTTCAACCACAAAAGTAACACAGTGAATGTAACTAGAGTCACTTTGATGGCAGAGGCTGGCTTCAAATAATATTAGAGCAAAAACTACAATAATACTACTCATTAAAATATAACTGTCTTTATTTTACATTAACAGCATCAACTGTTCCACTATCATAATTATAACAGACGCCAGACGTGATTTAGAAATGTGACATAGGTGTGTGTGTGTGTGTGTGTGTGTGTGTGTGTGTGTGTGAGAGAGAGAGAGAGAGAGAGAGAGCTAACAAAGAAAATCTGAGATCAAGGAGGAGGCTCAGGTTTCTGACTCAGCCTTTAAGCCAGTTTTTTATGTTAACTCACTCTGGACACTGAGCTCTCAACATTACAGTGTGGATGTGTGCGACCTACCTTTATGATGAGCAAAACCATCGGTCTGTGATGTGTTGTAGCAATGTAAACACAATGGTATAGCATCATAGAAGGAAGTGTGGCCATATAGCCACTTACAATAAAGGGAAGCCCAGTGTCATTAGAAGTACTGGGACATGTACCAGGAATCCCAGGGTCAGAGCAACAAAGCCTCACACACCCCAAAACAGTCAGTAAACTGAAAAGGGTCAAGTCGACCATCATAACTGTCCAAAGAATAAAAAGTGTTCAGAAATGATAGCCGTGATGTATAGTATTAGCTATTTTAAAGTTTACAGTATGTTTCTATAGTTAAAAACATTTGCCATGTTTCTCTAGCTGACTACAGTGTATTTAATGGTCTTTTACAGAAAGAGATCTAGTCTGTTGCTTTTGCTATTCTGCAGTCCAAATGTGCATAGGAAGCAAATGCTGGAGGCAGGTACTGTACATTACGTTGTCCAGTGTAGAGCTAAAAACAGACATTGTCATCATTGTGGTGAATCATCCAGTCTCATAATCCAACAGGTGGAATGACCACCCTTTAATTAGAAACTTATTGTAACACTGGCATGTAAAACTGGTGGAATGCATTTATAATCTAGGTATCAACAATGTTTTTTGTTTGTTTTTGGTTTTTTGGTAAAAAATACCACTAAGTCTCCTCTGTGTCCTCTGAATCTATATGTCTTTGTTTTTGTTTTTTTGGGCTCTTAAATTGAATAGATGTCAAACCAAAGTGCTTCTCAAATAAAGAATGGATATTTAAGCTAATATTTTGGGCCAGATAAAGATTATTTTAGGGTATTATTAGAAGAAAGGTGGAAACTAGGAGGATGACACGTTGTGCATTTGGTCCACCAGTTCACCTTGACAGTGTACGATTGTGTCAGTATCATCAGTCAAGTATTTTATATGCATCAGACTTCAGTTCCTTTGTTTTCCCTGTGTTTATACCTCCAGATGTTGATGTCTGGTCAAATTCTAAATCTAACTTGTTTATTCCCTGATCAGATTCTTTCTGTGTCAAATCACAGCTGTGTCAATCTCAGACTATTTTTTGTTGAAGCTAAATTCGTATACAGCCGATTATGTTTTGACAACCATAAACATCTGAGAACTTGTGCCTCTTTTGTTAAATAAAAACAGGGTTTTGTAGAAAAAAATGTGTCATTACCAAAACTCAGCTCTTGTATTTTAAAGACCCAAATGCACTTGATATATTCACACACCACAACAAAAATAATGAACAAAACCTGCTACTGTGCCAGTTTCTAAAGCAAATAGAGATGTCAACAGCCACCACTTAACCCAGCTCATGTGTATAGTGGCTGTTGAAAATTGTGCTGTGAAATCCAGTTTCTCTCAGGTCAGATATGGATACACCAAAGGAAGTTTCTGTGCTTTATGATCCATTTGGGGTTGTTTTCCAGCCGTGAAGTCCTCTACGGTACAATATAAAAATCTGCACGATAGGCTGCTTAGAAACATCTGCTTAAATATATCTGTGGCCAAGTGGTGTTAACTGGTGCCTTTGAGAAGAAAAAGATGAAGATTGTGGAATTATCAGAATGAGTGATTAGCCAAATGGTGAGGGCTTGAGCGTTTTTGATAACTCTAACGATGAATAAGAGACGAATGCTGATTATTCTAAAAAGGTGAGTGCACAGAGTGGCAAAGGTTTACCTGGAGCTGCATGTGCAGAGCAGGACAAGTTGTATTTTGTAAATCAACCGTACTATATATGACCATTTGTAGACACTTGATCACAACATGCAGATCAGTGGCTTTTGTGGCTAAAAGCCATAGGGCACTCTGTGGCGTGATTGCTATGAGGTTAATCTTTAACACACATGCTGTCTCTGAGGGGAGCTGTGGAAAGTTGCAGAGCAGCCATCCTTCCTGAAGAAACTATACGGTAGGCTGCTGTTTTTATAAAAGTGGTTGTAGTCATTCTTTGTCTTGGTACATAGTTGAATATATCAGAAACAAGATGGAGTGGTGATGCCTTTCCTTACACAAAAGAAGGGCTATTATACTGTATAGAATATATAGCAAAACTTTGCTCTTTTTGTGCAGCATGCCTTCTACTTAATTCAGTTTAAATTACATGCCATTAAATGGTCTGATGCTGTAGTACAGTGTAATTATTCTAATTATATAGCTAACAAACCCTTCCCATCTTCCTCAGGTATGAAAGATTATTCATTTCAGGGTCAGGAGAATGTGCTATTCACTCAGCACCAGGACTCTCATTTTGTCACAGTTCAGTTAAATCCATGATGTAGAAATTGAAGACGGATGGAGGACAAAAATTGATTTAATCTGTTTCCTGTTTTCTTTCTCCCACTTTGTTTTCAGTATATATTTGAGATCTTAAAATGTCTTTCATGCCTTGCCGAAACCTGTACTCAGCAAAGTGTTTTTCACATCTGTTTCTTTTTTAGGACATAAAAGAGAATAGTCCTTTTCTTTTGTATGTAACATTTTCCGGTTCAGAAACATGGATGTGACATTTGCATTGTTTGCTTTTCCTTTAACATTTTGAGGCCTTTATCATCAGTATGTTCTCCAAAGTCCTCTTTTGTAAAATATATAGTTCTCTGGAGACAAACAGCCTTCAGACTAGTGCAGAGATGTTGTTGCTTCTGTCAAGATATATCATTCACCTAATCTCCCGTTACAGTGTTTGAGTACATCTTTAATTCTGTTGTGATTAAAAAAAAATAGAAATAAAAATAAAAACACCTTTTGATTTGACAGCCAAATGATGAGAGTCCTCAAAATGGACAGCATGGTGGTGTGATGATAACGCTGTTGCCTCAGTTTTTTTTTTTTTTCATGCTGTATACACGCTAAAAAACCTGAAATTTACAGCATCAACTTGCTAAAGTGATACTATTTATAAAGGAGTTTGTAAGTAACAGCTAATTGCATTATGATGATTCTAGCCATATAGAAATTCTTCACATATTAGTCTTTGCTTTTAGTATTTTGCTGTTTTACAAAAGAGTATTTTTTTTCTATTAGATGAGCTGTTTTATAGTGGTATTTTTTTGTAAAGCGTCCAATCTTCCTCTTTAAAGTTTCTACTCACCTGCATTACATTGACTCCTAAAAGCAGAAAAGCCCCTGAAGCTCAGTTCTTTCAAGTGGCCCATTGCAGCTGGTATTTGTCAAGATAAGCCATAACTGTCAACTTTCCTTGAAAGTAGAAATGTTAAAAGGCCAGTTAAGGTTAAGACAAGTAGTAATTGCTGACTGAAACAACAGAGATGGAAAAAGCCACTAAAATCACTAAATTACTGTAAATGAATAAACTGTTATTTTCAGGCAAATATAACTGCAACAGAAAATACCCTTTATTCATTTTTGGCAAAAATGGCAAAAAGAAAAAATAATCAGTAATGATTAATGTATAAAGCTAAATAAAATGTGTTTAAAGTTAAAAAATTAGATTTGAAAGCTACTTCAAAATTCAACTATTAATGCTGCCACACTTCTTGTTTGTCTGCACCTAAGAGGACCATAAACAAGTGATCAGAGGCAAGACATTAAAAGGGATTTTGAATTTTAAGGGGCGGCAACTGATAGACATCAAGTCTACTACAAAAAAAAAAGCTTTTTTGAGGGTTGATCATTTGAGTCGCCCTCCTCCCCCAAGAGAACAGCAGAGGTCTCTCATCACAGAGTAGTTTAGTGTGGTGAGATGGTTGAATGCTAGGGCTTCATTAAACCTCCTATTGTTAACATCTGGGTTCAGAAGAATGGCTCTTTCTCTGATAAATGTTGCCTTGGCTTAACAAGGGATTTTATTACACCATGCAGTTGACATTGGCAGCAGTGGCACGTCTGGCAATGGAAACCCCTTGGGTCACAGGAGATCAGTCAAAGCAGCCTGTTTCCCTGAAACCTTCAATTCACTAGAGCAGGGAGGTAAATGTGCATCTAATCTTACTGTTGAATCAGGTTTTTAAAAAACAGCAGCTGTAAGAGCTCATTTAAATACTTCCAAAGGGAAGAAAGCACTCAGTACTCTGCCAGTTAATACAATATTTGTGCATCCTCTTCTTTCCTTATTGTTCCTTCTTTTCTTGCTTGCAATCCTTTTTCAATGCAGATATGAGGCTATAGCTGTCCTCAGAATTCTCACTCCAACATGCAGCAGTAATCTGCCAAATCAACTCATTTGCCACTGTGCTTCACACCATCCCCCCCCCTCCCTCTCTTTTTGGATTTCCTCCCTACTGGGGATGTGGCTACCATGGCAACTGCTGAATCATCCTCCACCACATGCAGCCATCCTCTAATTCCATCTGTTCAGGCAGCATCGGCATACTGTTCTGAAGCCTCAGTTTGCTATATTAATTGTATCAGTCTGTGCAGAGTGCAGGCTGGTTTCGGAGGAGACAGAGGTGCACAAGGCTGAACTACAGCCATTTGGATGGGTAACATACCCACTACAGTCAAGCACTGCCTGAGCTATGAGCATCTCAATCAGGACTACCCATGGCTGAGACGCTGGCTGCTGGAGGAGAAGGTGAGCATGTCTTTTTTTGTTGTTGTTCTTGTTTCTAATTTGCTGCACGTGTTCTGCCATGTGACTCTCTCATGTCAGAGAGGCTGCACCAGCCACAAATGATAGGGCTGATGCAGCGTGCTACTTGAATAATGATCATCTTCAGTTGAAGGTTTGTTCTGCTTTTACATACAACTGTACTTTTAAAGATAAAACTTTAACAAGAATGATAATCATTCATTCCAAGTAAAACAATATGTTGGACTTACATTCTGCAAATAAACAGAAAAGCAGCTCCAGTGCAGGCTAATGTTGCTCTGTGTGCACTAGACATAAGAGAAGAAAATGTCTGCTAAGCCCAATGGCTTAACACCTCAATAAGCTGCAACATTTGTTAGCTTGTTTTGTTTCTGTGCTCCCTAGTGGACAAACATCGATTAGAACAATTAGTGTTTTTTGGTGAGCTACATGGTGCTTTCATAAATGTCAGTCTAAAAATCTTGTTATATAAATCTGTCATCTTTAATCTCTGTTGAGATTTTACATTTAAATTCCACAGTGACCTTAATTTTCCTTAGCATTTTGAGGTCAAGACCAGAAAAATACCCTGATCTTCAGCTCACGTCTTGTGGTTTGTGTGGGGTTACCCTTACCTCCCTTCCCAAAGTTTTCTCTGACACATCTCATGAGTTTGCATCCTAATGGCGTGACAGGCTTAGTGATGGTGTTCTTCTTAGGTTTCATCTGGCAATGTGGCAGAGAGTTGTTCGTGTTAGAAATAACTTGTCCTGGAGCATCTCATGCCAAGAAGATGACTGGGTGCTTGTGTTCAGTGTCCTGTTGAATGTTATTGCTCTCTTTATTCTCTGCTCTGTTTCTCTTTGATATTTTTCCAGACCATTAGAGGAGATGAGTATGCAGAGTTTGTTAAAATTGTTGAAGTTGGGCCAAGAGATGGACTTCAAAATGAAAAGGTATGGGCCCTACTCAGTAAGGATCTCATTTATATGTATATGCCTACTTGTTTTGTATTACTATCTGTGATCATCCCTGAAAACCCCCCATTTTTCTGTGTCTGATACATAAAACAGTTCATAACATATGGGTTTGTGTGTCATAACTGCCAAAGACATATGCTTCACATTTTCTTTGAAACTGAATATGAAAGACGACACTTCTTCCGACTTATTTACTCTGCTTAAAACGGCACTGCTTTATCATTTCCCGATTGCTCCTGCAGTTTTACAAATTGCAGCGGATCAAAAAATAATTCTATTTTCCACGTTATTATTTCAAGAGAACTTAAAATATTCTGAAAAATACAGTATGTGAACATGGATATCAATGTCACTGGCAAGCAGTGCAGCCAAATTAAAAAAAAAACAAAAACAAAAGAAATCTGCCAGATATCTGCTGGTTGTACCTCCCATGCTGAGTGGAATCAAATCCAGAACGAGTTGTTTCAGTTTCATTGCTCCCCAGGAAAATGTTCCAACAGGAGTGAAAATCCAGCTGATAGACATGCTCTCAGCAACAGGCCTGCGTGTGATCGAGGCCACCAGCTTTGTCTCTTCAAAGTGGGTACCGCAGGTAATAGCTCTTCTTTGTGCAAAGCAAAAGAATGCTGAGTGATTTATTAGGCTCCCTTTCTTGTCTGCATGGAAAATATCCTTCTTTAGTATCTTTGTTACACCCACAGATGGAAAGAATGTTTGGAAGATTTTCTTCCCGTGTTCTAAATTGTACCACTTCCTGAAAAAGAGCATGTCTCATGTTTAGTTTAGTTTTTTTGGTTGTATTGGGAAATGTGACATGTAAAAGTAATTCTCAAAAACATAATCACAAGATGTTAAAGGTCTTTTTTCTACATCACATATCTCCCCCACCCCCTTCATCTAGATGGCAGACCACACTGATGTATTACGAGGAATCCAGAGAGCACCTCATGTTCAATACCCCGTTTTGACACCTAACATTCAAGGCTTCCAGGATGCTGTAAGCAGCATGATGGCCGCTACGCTAAACCATAACTTTTTACCTGTGCTTGTGAAGTGGAGTTACAACATTAATTTTTGCCAGAGAATCCTGTGTGACTCCAACACAGTGTTCCTGTTTTAAGGTTGCAGCTGGTGCTACTGAAGTGGCGGTGTTTGGGTCGGCGTCCGAAACCTTCAGTAAAAAAAACATTAACTGCTCTATTGAGGAAAGCATGCTGAGGTTTGAGGAAGTCATTAACGCTGCCAAAGAGCGACACATCTCAGTTCGTGGGTATGTATTCTGGATATTGTCACTTAAAATGAGTGAAAACACACATCGAATGTTTTACTGAGTTTATTATCATATTTATTTTTGTACTCCAAGTAAAAATATAACAATTTTTATACATAGGTGAATACACATAATTCAGTAAAGTCCCAGATGGTCACCAGTATGCATTAGTAAACCACAAGTCTACATGCACACTAAAGTAAAGCAAACAGAGTAAACTGCTGAATACAGCTGTGCCTTTGTCACCACAGCTGTAATGCTTGTTTACTTGAACCTCTTAGGTGAAAAAAGATAAACATGACAGAACAACAGTATATTAGTGTAAACACAGACTTGAAGGCTGGGTCAACAGCAAAATCATTTATTGTTGTGTAAATCTTTTGTCTTTTTTGAGATGTCAGAGCAATGTTAAGCTAAATTATTCTACCTGAGAACAACAGGCAATGGTGAAATAATTAGTTTGTTGAATTTTATTTCAGCGAATGCGCAAATAAATCTCAGGATCAGAAGTCAAATAATTTACAGGTTGAAATTTTTTGTGCTACACTGAATCACTACTCCAGCCATGGTGGTTGTTTAGGTTTCTGTCTTCAGTCATTCACACCAAAATGTGACCAAGTGTTATATTAAATGAACATATTAAATTTTCATCCGCTTTCAGATATGTGTCCTGTGCCCTCGGATGCCCCCATGAGGGACACATTGAGCCTTCCAAAGTCGCTGAGGTGAAACTAACCTTTCTTTATTTCTATTTTATGTTTTCTAAATGTTCAGTCTGGAAAATAGGTATGCCTACTGAACACAGTATACTGAAGGCTTACATTGGTCAAGGTCACAACGTTTGCTACCTATTTTTATAATCAGGCCTTCTCCTACATGTTTTCTCATTTAATTTCTAGAATTTACAGGCTTATTCTCTGCTATTTCAATGAGAACATTTTACTGCATTTTTACTATTTTTCAGGTGGCAAAGAGGTTATATGAAATGGGCTGTTATGAGATTTCCCTGGGGGATACCATCGGTGTTGGTACTCAAGATTCCATGTTTAAGATGCTGCAAACTGTGATGAAGGAGGTGCCTTGCAACTCTCTAGCCGTTCACTGCCACGACACTTATGGACAAGCACTACCCAACATTCTCACTGCACTTCAGGTAAGAACTCATAACACACACCTATATTATCCAGTCATCCCAAAAGTATTACTGCTACCACTACTTAATATATTGATGCTTAAGTTATGTACATTATTATTGAATTCATTTTTCTTGCCAATTGTAGAAGAGGAAGTAGTGTTAATGTCAAAGTAGTGGTAAAAAGCTTTTTAATTAACATACAGTTTTTCTTTTACTGTTTTGATAACAAAAACTGTCTTTTAAAGCATTTACTGCATTTTACCTAACTACACCAGCTTGTTCACCTCTATTATGTAAAGGGTGATTATATAAGAAGGTTAACACACCAAAAAATATCTATTATAAATGTATTTACCTGTGAATTTTGAGAAAACCGCAAGGGAAGAGAGTGAAAATTGTTATCCTTGATAACAGAGTGACAGAAAGGTCAGATATCACTGCAAATTTTGTGAAGTCATTTGGGATCTCTGAAAGGAGAGCATGGCTGAAAATATCTCAGATGTCTCTGAAGAAAAGGAATCTCTGATAACTCCGGGAGGACAGGAGTGACAGCCAGCCTTTCATTCACATCTCTTTTAATAGAAGAAACATCTTGATCTTTATGCGAAGGGTGTGAAAAGTGACAACATTTTATCTTTCAGAACTCTGTAGAGGGCCTACGAATACTGGAGTGGTTAGAAACGGAGGCCCGTTCGCATCAGAGCTGGAAGTGTAGCCTCTCCTCTGTTCAATGATGCATTAGCTTCCTCTTCCTCGCATGTTACATTCGTTGACAGCTTAACTTTCTACTTTCCCAGTCGCTTGGCAAGGATTTTTTGGGTATCTTCTCTTTCACATGCACATCCTTCCATATGATGAGTTTGAATATTCTTGTAGAGAACCGCAGGTCATTTATGGATAAATGCCCAGCCTTTGCATAAGTCAGTGTAGTTTTTCATGATGACATGAAGAGGAGCAACCAGATGTGGAAGCAGAGTTGAGGTAGGGATTCTTGATCCAGGATATCCTTCAGCAAGTAAATGCCAGATTTAATGTTTAAGCTGCTTCCAGTTGTGGACAATTTTAGACAGAACCAGTCGATAAGTACTGTACAGTAGCGTTTACTTAAGTTAAATTTGCATCAGTTTCTCACTTATTTTGAACATTTATGGTTGTTTTGAGAGCATATGCGATTCAATGTTTTAGAGCTTAAAAGTGTTACTCTAGAATAAATCTCTGTATCATTTTCCTCTTCAACAGATATGTATGGAGCTGAAGTGTAAAACGGTGTATCACAGTCCGAATGTTTATGAAACCCACTGTAAACCTGAATCTGGCCTGAGCTTTAATGACAGTGTGGTGGTTTGCAGCATTATGAATGCATCCTCTGTTCTGCACGATTGAGAAGGCACAAAGCAGATGTATAGGTTACAATAGGACACGCTGAAAAGTGGGAACCGTCAGTCAACAAGGATGAGGGCCATTAAGAAACATGATCTAAGTCTCCCCACAAAGAAAGATAATTCACAAACTGTCTACTGAAAAAAAAAACATTCCAGACTCTTAATGAACATAAGATATTTCCAAAGGGCCCTCCCATCATGGCACACATGAACTATAGTGAGGAAAAAATTTAATTCTGTTTCTGCACAGCTCACACAAATCTAATTAGGGTGTTTTCCCTCACTTCACCCATAGCGAGCATAAAACCTAGATAAATTTAGACGTAAAACAGAAGTGATGCAGATATGGCTGTATCAATTCTCTGGAGCACATTATCAGAGGATGAAGTTCACCGGGGGCTGGGTGGGTCAAGAAATGTGAGGGGGTCAGCACAAAGGCTCACCTATTCAGTGTCTATTGGACAAAGCACCTGAGAGCTAGGTGGATGGAAGCCCCGGGGGGCTCCTAACTCATCTGTCACTTGGCTGTTGAACTCTCCGACAATGCTGCGCTTAAAGGGGAGTGGAAAATGATCCTTTCATTCACTTGCTGCTGAGCATGTGATGAACAGTGCTGCAGCTCTGGACTCAACGAAGCAGCACTTTATTTTTACAGTAATATCTGCTGTGAAGAACACAGTTGTGCGTTGTGATATTTTCTGCAGTTTGCTTAAATCACTGCATTTTGGTTACTTACTTTGTTAATGTCATTAATTGGCAGTGCTCTTCAGAGTTTTATTTTAAATGTAGGCCAGATATTGAGAAAAATAATGGTTCAATTTGCTCTAATATTGATGCTTGTATCTTGATTATCTATGGTGCTATTCTTCAGTAACACTGCAACACAGCGCTGAAGAAGCACTCAACAATGTTCACATGGAACATAGCAAATATTTTTAAATTTAGGTTTGATTTTGGACCGTGAAATGGAAAAGTGCAGAGGGACAGTGAAATTCCTCTGTGGATCATATTTGGAATGATTCATCACAGCTGTCCTGTGGCCACAGAAAATAATAGCATCCCCGGATATTTAGCCTACCATTTGTTCACCCATAAAAAGATGGAAATGAAAGATTTTTTCATAGTTTTTCATTACTGTGTGCCAGACGTCCACACCACCAACTGGGAAAGAAATGAATTCCCCCAGTGCTGTCAGCCCTGAGTCACCTCTTTTGTTTCTGATAAAGACATTCCTCAGTCTTTGTACCTTTTCTTTCTTTCTTTCCAGGAGGTCTAGGGGAGCTTTGTTACAAACCTACTCCTGGCAGGTCCCACACTGACAATGTATGTACTTAGATTTCACAGACTTGGCAAAGAAAATTATTTATTCTTACCCACAATTTTGGTGCATTGTGTGTAGCTGCAGCTGGGGGAAACAATATAACCTGTTTGTCCATGAGATACTGTTCAAGCATGATGGGCTGATGCAGGGTCAGGAACTTTATTAGTGCGTTGATTGTGTCAAGTACAGCTTACAGTATTGTTGATATTATGATGTTCTAATGTACATTAATTACATTATCATTTTATGACAGTCACAGTGGCCATCATCACCATCATTATGATCTTCATTGTCACTTGTTTGTGGTGAAATTCTAATTGCAGCAATAATGGAAAGTAAAGTACATTTACTCAGGTACTGTACTTAAGTACAATTTTGAGGTATCTGTACTTGAGTATGTTCATTTTCTGCTACTTCACACTTTGTCTTCACTACACTTTAGAGGCAAATGTCGTGCTTTTTACACAACTACATTTATTTGATAACTTTAGTTACTGGTTACTTTTCAGAATCAGAATAATTATACAGAGTGCACTATAATCATCTGACTTTATTGGTCCCTAGTGGGAAAGTCACAAAATACCAAGCATTACTTCAAACTATTAGCATGTAAGGTAGTTAAAATGAGCTCCACCTTTACCAGCTGCAACATTAAATGTGATGTGCACAATACTGTGTCAATAACTATAATTCAGTAATATGATATAATTAATATAAACTGTGCATTTTAGTTTTGGAACTTTAAGTGTGTTTTGATGCCAGTACTTCTGTACCTTTACTTAAGCAACATTTTGAATGGGTAGTACTTGTAACTGAGAATTTTTAGAATCAAATCCCATTAAATCACATAATAATATTGATAATAAAATAAAAACTTTAACATATACAAGTGCAGAATATTAAAAAGATGAATGCATTCATACATGTACAATATATGATTAGATTATCTAGACTGTGTACTACTGTTCATTGTTATACGCTATTCATTTATTTCTTAGGGACAACAGAAATTAAATAAATAAACCATGAAGTAAAAAGTATTTATTCTTTATATGTTTGTTTTATCTATCTCCCAGCTGCACACCAATAATTGGGCTTTGCTTCCAGCTTATTTATGCATTCTGGGAAAGAGGTGATGTGTCAGCACTGGATCTGTGACGGTTTTCTTTCAGCTTCCCAGTTTATGTAGCGGTGGGTAAAGCATCACTGCTTTATATCCTTCAGTGAATACATGCTCTCTCTTTCTGACGCAGTTATAAAACCAAAATGGGAGCATGTCCATCTTCAGCCTTGTTCTCTCAGAGTGTAGAATGTCAACAAGCTTATCCCGAATTATGTAGGTTTGAAAATGCACTGTATCTTTACACAGGAATGTATTGTTTTTATATAACCGCAGCTCACAGAATTTGGCTTTTTAACACTGAGTGCACATCTGGTTTCTGGGCAGTGTGAACCTAACCGAGCACTGGCAAGCTCGCACTGCTGACCACTGGTTTTTGTGCAGTAAGTGTCCAGAGAAACAGGGCAAGCTGCTGAAGGGTTCCTTTTGTTCATTTTAAAATCAGTGTGCTGAAGACCCCTGGCCTCACGCAGTTAGCAGCTGAAATTGAGAGGATTGGTATGGTACTGTAGATTACAACTCTGTGTTTATAGTACAAAAATGTCTGCCTAGCACAATATCCTGCTCTGACTTTAACCAAGGTCTTGAAATCTCGTGCACTGCACACCGGTGTAGATCTCCTCCTGCTTCTGCCCACCCTCCTCCTCTTTTCTTGCCAACATAAACAGCAATCACAGCTAGCTCAGACAACCCCTGAAAGAAGTAGGTTCTTGTCTTTTGGAAAATCAACCAATTAGCAGCATTGTTAAAAAAAAATCAAATCAAATCAAATAACAAAAGGTAATAGAAATTCTTAGCTTGCTTGGTCTTGGTCCATGGGGTAAAAGTCCACTGAGAGAATTGGCGCTTTAATTTTATTGCACCGTGGGATCCTCTGACATCTGGCTCTGCCACGGAAGCTGGAAAACAATTTTAATATTCTCATGATGATCCTAGAGACATGTGGAAAACATCCTGAGACCTTAGTGCGCAATGACTCTGAAACTCTGGCTTCATCTTTAGTTGATGTGAAAACAAAAGTTGCTCTTGTGGATAAGTTAAACACCTACACGGCAAGCACTGCAGTTTTGTCTCATTATATACAGTAACATGTGCATTCAGAGAAACTGTAATATATGTTTCTACAAATGGATTCTCCTTGCAGCTATAAATATAAAAAGTAAACAAATATTTCCTAAGCAGCATTTTAGGATTTTTGGCAACCTGTCTGACAAAAACTTTAAAATTCAGACAAACAAGTGAAAATGTATCATTTGTTTTCACATGAATGCCAGACATTTAATACAAGCAGTAAAAGAAAAAGAAAAAAGTCTCACAAAATTGTAAGCAGCCAATGAACCAAAGCAATCAAACTTGAAATTCATCTCTTGCAGATAAGACCACCACAGAACCACCATCAGCGAAATAATTTAGAACATTGATTACTTCACATTTACGTAGTATTGTTACAATCCCTGTATTGTTGGCATAGTGTAAGAGGACACCATGCTGCCAAGAAGAAAATGTCTTCTCAGGGTGGCAAGAAAGTGAATCCTCATGGTTAAGAGCAGAGGAGAGCTGTAAAAACATGAGTAACCAGGAGAATCAGAAACATATGAAATGTTCTTTTCAGCATTCAGGATGTTCTTCTCATACGAATAAGCTGTAATTATGTGGTGCTGGTGGTTTGAGCTGACAAAGAGGATGACTAAGCCGTACTGTGGGATATTCTATGCCCACTCATCTTTAAGACATGAAGACCACTGTTCTCCCAAACAGCTGTAAAACCCAGCTGCAGGCCTGGCAGGCCAAGGCAAGGCACGTTGCAGCAGGCAGAGTGATCCAGCAGAACAAGGACCTTTGTTGATGGAGTTTTTACCTGAGGTGAAGCCTTATAGAGCCGCTGAATGTCTCTGTTGTGTGTCCTTGCAGATGGGGGTCCGTGTGGTGGATTCTGCAGTAGCGGGCCTGGGAGGCTGCCCGTATGCTCAGGGTTCATCTGGCAACGTTTCAACAGAGGACGTCCTCTACATGCTCCATGGCATGGGCATTGAAACAGTAAGTGCCACAGACCTGTGGTAGCTCATGTCTTTATAATCCCAATCTATCATCCCTACTCATACCCTCATGTACATAAAAATACACTGTTGTAAATTCTTATTCTATAATATAATTGATTTGATTAGATTTTACACATGTTGCAGGAGCTTGCAGTGTTACATGCTCCATCTCAAGAACAATTTATTTAACAATTCCTACCCCTGCTGGTTGAATATTTTCACTACAGTTTAGTTTTCCACCACCTGTTGCACACAGCCATTGTCACTCATGGCATCCTGCTTCTTACCCACATTATATCACTTGTAAATATTACATTCGATATGTAATCATTTTTTGCAGGGTGTGAATCTTGCCAAAGTTATAGAAGCTGGTGATTTCATCTGCAGTGCTTTAGGTCGCAAGACAAACTCCAAGGTTGCCCGGGCAAGGCACGGGACACTGTGATGTATTTCTGTAAAGGACTATATTTAAATTTTGGTCTCCATGCTTCCCCTGTTGTTGCTGCCTGTGTATTTGAAGTATATTGTTTCTTGTTTTAAACTCTGAGAGGTATCTTTAAATAATCCCAAGAATACTCATTTGTGTTCAAAACCACCTCTTTTAATTTTAGTTTTTTATTTTTTCAATTCATTTGCATATTTTTGGAGTTGATTCTGAATTGAAGAACCCTGATCAACTTGAATTATCAGTTTTGTGTGTGTGTGTGTGTGTGTGTGTGTGTGTGTGTGTGTGTGTGTGTGTGTGTGTGTATTCTGTTTGGCTTATTTTTTGCTCATTATGGTGCATGAAATAGCTAGAAGCAGATAAACTCTGTTTAGACAAGTATTCATTTTGGATGGTCTGGACGATGCTGTAATTTACTGACTTATGAACGCATACTGCTGTTTCATATGTCATTGATAAATCCTTCTTACTTCTCTTTGACTCATACCCCCAGTAGAAGTCAGTCCCCTTTGCGCAGCTCAGTGTCCTTATAAAGTGTGACTGCTAGTCTACTCTGGCTTCTTGCTGAACTCACTTTATTATCACCACGTCTTTCATTTGAATAAGTAGAAAAGGCAAACTGCGAAAAGATAAATGCACCTTCCAGCTTTTAAAATATTTATACCTCCTTGGGCATTTTATCTCTTGGAAGACCTTTTCAGCTTTTTCTGCCCAGTCAGATTTAGTCTGTGTTGCAAATAAAAAGAAGACTTCTCTCAAAATACAATGAATATATCCTTTTGGTCTGCGAAGAGGCTTTGCCGTCAGGTTTGCCAAAGATCATAGAAGAAGTGCCCTTTGATTATTTTTCTCCATTAAAAAAAAAAACTTGAAAAACTATAACAAGCGCTAGTGTTTGGGAGGATCATTTGTGAAAGGATCAAATGTCTCTCCTGTCTGTTTACACCCTGCTGTGCTATCTGCAACATGTAATCAACTAGAAACTAATGTGACACTGAATTTTAATGTGCTTTATCTAAACTACAGTATTAAAGACTAAATATATGTATTGTGCTTGAGAAAAATGAAAACCAGTTACCAGGTAGTTATGTCTTTGTGTTCACTGAAACTGGAGGATTAAGAGGATCTAAATAAAGAAAATATATGACATGTTGTGAATGTTTTTGTCTTGGTCCTCAGGAGTCAGGATACATCAGGTTTTCTGTCCAGTAGTTTATTAACTGCATTCACCTAATGTGATAGTCTCTGGGAGCAGCAGGAAAAGAATGTGACTCTAAAGGACAGATGTAGGAAAAAATGGTAGGTTTGCATGAACTAGTTCATCACATATACAAACAATCGGTTCATCCTTCAGTCCAAGGGGACACATACCAAATTTGAAGAAATTACCTCAACGCGTTCCTGAGATATTGTGTTCATAAGAATGGTCTGGACGGATGGACATGATGGCTCCAGCCACACCGGTGCAAAGGCATGAAAAACAGGGAACAGCCTTGTTCTTGCATCTGATACATTTACTGTCAGAGAACTGACTTTTATCCAAAGACTCTTGTCTGTCCCAGGATCCAGGACGAAGTGCTTTGCTGATAGTAGATGGATCAACACTGTAGAATTCCCCTTCTCCTATCATTCTTTTTGTATTTTCCTCTGAAGCTTTATACCACATACAGTATATACAATTCTATTATTTTATCTTTTAATAACATTTTCCCTTGTTCTGTCCTGTTGTTCAATTTTTCTGTTCTTGCTTTTACATTGTGTTTAGAGTGCCATAAAAATGGATTTAGTTTAAAATAAGTTAAATGAAGTGGGAGGGATAGCCCTGTTTCATATTTTGTATAGTTTTCGGCAATAAGCACATCCACGTCTTTTATTCACCAACTCACATTAGTGTTATTTAAGGTCAGATAGGTTGGCATAATGTGATGCTGTTTAAAATTTTACCCAAAGTTCCTGTGAAACTGATCAACTGGCACACAATCTAAATGTACTGACTCTTTACTTTATACTTGAATATACTACAACCTACTGCTGTACTATAATGTAGTATATCTTTTCCCCAAAAGCTGCTTTGTGGATGTTACTTGAAAGCATTTTGATCTAACGCCTTCCAAGGGGTTCACATGATAGTTTGAGGTCTGAGTCCGAAGCATTAATGTAGGCGGGGTTGACCTTAGGCAGGTTTGCGTGCACCTTGTTGGTTCATCCAGGAGTGAGGCCTCGGGAAAAGACTGCGCTGAGGAAATGCACGAAACAAGGGATTATTTTGCGAATTGTTGAAGCTACGAATGGACAGTTTTCTACAATAAGCATGAATAAAACGTCATCTGGACAACTTTACTATCACAGGAACACGAGCAGGGTCGTTGGATTATACGGAAGTCCGTCAGCTGGCTGCGCGTCCCCATAATGGGTAAGGTAAATTAAGGATTTTACGCCACTGAATGTTGTGGTAAATGATACTGATGGGTGCACTGGAGCACGGCTGCCTTGTCCCATTGTTTGGCTTTGCATTTATACGAATGAATGGTTTCTGTTGCTGCTTGTGCTGTTTGGTGGACGTGTGTTTAATTCTGGTTAGTTTAACTTTGGTTTTGTTATTTCGTTCTGTAGGGCTACCTCTGAGATGGCTTTTTTTTTTTTTTACCTTGAGGGCATACAAGTGCATGTTAGAGCCTCATCATTAGCTTATCAAACAAACAAAAATGTAGGTTTCTGGCAGCTTCCTCTGTTGCCTTTGCTTTTAGATTAGGGATGCAGGATGATTGTGTAAAATAAAAACAAAACAGAATACCAACAATCATCAAAAAAAGACAGCTGATGACGTTAAATCAATCACAGTCTCAAATGTGCTGTTGTCTTGTAATGATTGATGGCACAACTCAGTGTGAAATAGTCAAAAAGATTAATGACTGAATACATTTAAGTTAGTGTTATTTGTACAGAACCAAATCACAACAAAAGTCAACTTAGGACACTTTACAAAGTCTAGTCTATCAAGACATGAAATAAACCATGTTGTCTCTTCACAATGAAGGATTTCTGGATATTTAATCTGATCAAAATTCAGAAAAGATTGATATATAAAATCAATACCTTCTGATAAATGTAATCATTTCAATCTTTTTTTAATGCAATTTTTATGATACACATTTAATAGATAAACATCAGAGAATATCAACACAGCTGCTTTTCTGCAGAGGGTGAATTTGTGTTTTCAACATCCTAGAAGTTAAGAGAAATAAAAGTATAAATCCACATGCGCTGGTATCATTAAATATCAGACGTACTGTGTTTTGGCACTGATTTACTTACCATATTGAACTGACAACAGCCAGAGGCATTAATATAACAACTCCAACAAGTAGCACAGCTGCAAAAGAACACAGCAGATAATCTGGAAATACAAAATATTCAACAGTCAGTACACTCAGAATTGTACTAATAGATTGGAATTAATTGCAATAATATCTAATTGGTATAAAGTGCTGAATTTACCAATTACCCATGAGGGACCTTGCCCAGATTCATTGTTTTTGGGAGGTTTAGAAGGATCACTGCTGCTTCTCCGAGGCGTTACTGGAAAAAACCCCCATAGAAACACTTTATTTTTACTAATTACGTTTTATAATGTCAGTGAAATGCCTGTTTTATACAGTAAATCCAAATCCTACTAACTGAAGTGGGATCTGTTGTGAAGTACATCATGAATCATGTTGCATATCCGGAGATCATTACTGCCCATTCTTTTGCATGAACAAGGATGGTGAAGTGCTGAGCCCAAAGTGGCCAAGAAGGCCCTTTTACATTCAGAATCTGCACCGCGGATGAGCGCCGGATCCATCCGGGTGAAGCATTCAACATTTTGGAGGTCACCGTCGCTGCAATATGCATCTTCAAAGCCCCAGCATTTGGCTTGGAAAGCTTTTAACAGGTGTCTGCGAAATCAGAGAAAATGTGTTTTAGGGGCAGTTGCTTTGCCTTATGGGTGCTGAGGATGCAAATTGTAGCCTTTCAGGTTGACATTTCAATCCAGCTTCATTATTATATTATAGAAATATTAGTGTTACAGTCTGCAAATGATGAAGTGCTTTGATATGAATGTCCATATTTTTAATTTAACTAAGTACTTTGTATCATAAATACATGTCTATGTATGAATTCAATTTACTCATAATTTTTCTGTTCAATAAGTTTTTTTCAATGGCATAAAGTCATTTATTCTCTAGTACTACTGTAGTGTCAGACGAATTGTTAAGTAGAGAGCCAAAATAGCCACATACCTGCAGTTACTATCTTTGACACACTGGTTAACTGTTTCCTGGCAGATCCGGGTCTCATCTCCACATGTACCGCTGTGCAGAGCACTTTTCATATGCAGACAGCTCTGATTTGAAGCCTCACACTCGCACATGACCAACATCTCTGCAACATTGTGCGGCATGCTGCCATAGAACTGTTGAGTTTCTTGCTGGCAGTGGTCAGGGTCGCACGGATCTGCTGTACATGCCTGAAGAACACGTGCTAGGTGTCTGTTGCAAACCGTATCGCTGAGACAAATGCTTATCTGGTCCAAGCAGGATCTAGCACCATCATGTGCTATAAAAAGAAGTGGAGTAAATGGGTCTGGGAGTGCACAAATGTCACGTTTGTATTTATTGAATTCAGTATCTTCTCATTACCTCTCAGCTGAGGTTAAACCATAATAAAATGATTACCATAGCCTATTAAACTGCTCAACTGCCAGTCCATCGCTGTGCTCCTCTTTTGTTGTGTTGCTGTACAAATGATAGATGATTAGCTTTTCTCTGACAAATGCTGTTCATAACACTCATGCTGTAGTGCAATAATGTTTGCTCATAAATCAGATTACCTTTTAGTAAACGAAAATGTAATTTCACCTATAAAACCTTGCTGAGAATACTGCACCTGGCTTGCTGTGGCATTGTGTGGCCAGCGCTTGTATAGAGTCACAGACCTCCTCCTCCCATGCACATACACACCCTCGCAGTGAAGGAAATTGGTCTATTACGGACTGGATGGTCATGTTACAGACCTCTGAGCCTTTTATTTGGCACCCTTCATCTTCAATAACACAAACACAAGAGGGAGGCAGAAAAACAGGATTTTCCATAAGTGAGCGAGGGGTTATTTGTGCAGCAGGTGTGTATGCCCCTGCTGCTCTCACGTTCTCTTTTTAATTGTGAAGGCTGTTTACATGCAGATATGTGTTGGCAAAATCAAATCATGCTTGAATTTAATATCATAAAAAGACATTTACATTAAAAGCAAGTGAGCGCCTATTTATTGTTTATCTATTTATTTTGTTATAAAGACTTTCCTCCAGGCTGTTGCCTCACTTATTACATTTAAGCCATGCTCCAAGAAGTGCAATTTACTTAAACAGTATTGTGTCCTGAGCTTTTATATCATTGCTTTTATAATGCCACTAGAAAAAAATTGGAAATTTTTTTTTTTTTTTTTACCATTACAGATGTCGGTGTAAAAGGCCTGTTCACTGTTGCATAAATCTGACATGCAGGTATCCACAGCAACCATACAGTCAGGAGGTACTGATGAAATGCTCATCTGAAGAATAACAATTCCTGAAATACATAGCAATAATTGATTTATATTAGCTTAAAAGCAGATTATATTTATATAATAATTTGTTTTTATTAGTTGTCTTACGTTTTACAGAAAAAGTAGGTTCAGTACAATCGTTGATGCACATTTAACATCACTTATTGTAGGCACACTTACTGTAATTTTACCCAACAAAACACAGAGGCATAAAGTTATAGTGTAGGATATACTGTCAGACATCAGTTGTTTTATAGTGACATTTGGTTCCGACTCACCAAGTATGACTGCAGCTTCCAGACATATCCGTTGCATGATAGCTGTTTAAAGCTGTGGACCGCTGATGCGCTCCTGCTGCCGATCTGCTGCTGCCAGTGTCCTTCTGCTGGGCTCCACTACCCTCAGTCAACCGGATGTAACGTACTTGGAGGCTGTACTCTGAGACAGTGTAATGAAATATACATGCAGTTCACGAACATAACACACGTAAACAGAGGTCTTGTGTTCTGATAACCATAGTGGTTGAGTAGCTTTGTGGTGTATTACTATCAGATTTGGTTGTTGATAAACCAAGACGGTCTTGCAGCTATATAGCAAATATGATATATTTACATAACTATCATGTAATGGGGATTGAAAACATGCCTGGAAGCCAGTTTATGACCTCTGATGTATTTTAAAATCCCCCTGACAAATTTGTGTCGGTAGATTTTGTTATCAGTTTTTTTTTATATCGTTATTTTAAAGCAGTCAAAATCAATATATTTGTAAAAACAACAAATAATATGAATCTGTGAAAGGGGTGCTTTGCAGTGATGAAGCTTCAGACAACTCTCCGCAGTTCCCTTCAGCTCCGTGGAGCATTTCAGTCTTCTAGCTTGCTTTGGTTTTGGTTCCTTGTCACAGCTCTTTTCAGTCCGTTTCCAAATGCAATGGGCAGAAGCTAGCAACTGTAGCAATAACTTTATTTTTATTTTACCAGTTTTTCTGAATCATATGCTCTCAGTTGAGCAGTAGTTAGGCCACTCCTCTAACCTTTTGTCCACTGTGTCATAAACTAATCTTACTCATGCAAGTCCATGTTATTTTTGATTTCAGTCCCTGGGCCAGCAGAGTGGATTTCTGTGGGCAAAGTGAAAGCACAGTGCCGGTAACCGCCTCATTTTCACCACTGAGAGGAGCCTGAGCAAAGCCTGAGTACTTTGTAGCTTCCAGGTTTGATGTGTGTGTGTGTGTGTGTGTGTGTGTGTGTGTGTGTGTGTGTGTGTGTGTACCTGTGTGTACCTGTGTGAGTGTGACCAGGGAATTGCTGGAAGAGATATCGTTGTCTCAGATTTGCTTGATTAAATGAAGGTTACTGAAAACTAGTTCACTTAGAATCATTGTGGGGGGTCACTGGGTGCCATATCGAAGGCACCTGTTTACAGCTGTTGTAGAGCAGTAAAACACGGCGTAACATCGATGTGCATGCTGTAAACAACGTGTTGGTCAAGTATTTACTCTCATGCAACAGGAACAAATCCAGATACACACTAATTAGCCTTGACAGTCAAAAGTCTTATGTCAGTTATTTACTGGCCTCAGTAACATTTTATTGATTAAGTGAAATGACTCAAAGGAAGAGAGCAAGCAGCTCATTTTCTTTATTAATAGTATTTTCAACAATCTTCATACAGAGACTAAAACTGACAATGAATTGTCTCTATGTTTAATGTCTGTCAGTGTCTCAGTCCTGGATCAGCTTGTTCGTCTCTGCCATAGACCTGCTTGTTGGGTTTTTTGTTGTTGTTGTTGTTTTTTTTGTTGTTGTTTTTTTCAGACAGTGTCCCCTGGGCTCTGTAGATGTCAGCAGGTTGACTGACAGGAGCGTTGTAGTACATGTCAAATGTGACATATCTGTGCAGATTCTCAGTCATCCAGGTCATAGTAAACCGCAACCGAAATAACCTTGGAAATCAACTGGACTTGGAATTCTAGATTGAAGACGTTTCACCTCTCATCCAAGAGGCTTCATCAGTTCTGACTGACTGGTGTTGAGTCGGGGATAAATATCTCCGACTCAACACCAGTCAGTCAGAACTGATGAAGCCTCTTGGATGAGAGGTGAAACGTCTTCAATCTAGAATTCCAAGTCCAGTTGATTTCCAAGGTTATTTCGGTTGCGATGTCAAATGTGACTTTCTAGCCAGTGCTGAAAACAACAAAAAAAACTGTCTTTCTTGAGAAAAGAAGTTCTCGATTTAATGATTTCATATTAAAAACATAATTTTCATTTGCTGCAATACATAGTGGACAAATGTGCAGCTACAATAACTTTCTATTTACATCATTTTTATGCACATTCATGGGTGTGTACACTGAAGACGTACTCTGCTAATCAAGAAGATAAATGACACATCTGAGCAGCTATAGAACTTATTCTTTATTGTGCCTGCTCTTCTATTGTAAAACTCATTAAAACTGAGGCAGAAATAAATACTAATAAACACTTCATGCCAACAGTGATGTAATTAATTATAATCTGTAACACAGATTTTGGCAACTAAACCAAAAATAAAGCTGGAAAGTCACAATAACACATTCACAGTTCAATAAAATACAAAAAAAAATCATGTCACTTAATCATTAAACATTCTTCGATACTAAACATCCAAATTCCTTGATGATAAATAGATTCTTACAGCAAAAAAAGAACTGAGAAAGTCAGTTAGCTAAAGCTCATAGTTTCTATAAAGTGTCCTCATGAAAATTACCAAACACAAAACAACAATTTGGAGACATTCTGTTTTTAGAATTAGATTTAAACCTTTTTTTTTTTTTTTACTACACAAAACATGCACACAAACATAGGACATTAACAGGACAGGACACAGAAGACGAAACGGTGGTTATATAGATGGAGCAAAGAATGCAAGCAAGCCAGTAAATCAAGTGTGCAGGTGATGTGTGGGTGTGTTCAGAATGTAAATGGGGTAAAGGAGGAAAGAACTATAAAATAAGGGGTGTAGGCAGTGAGCTAGTAGTAGGTTTAAGAGGGTGAATAAGAGAGAAAAATAAATTCTAAACAAATAAATAAATAATAAAGAGAAGGAGGATACTGGCATATGATATGTAGTGATTTTTTTTTTTTTTTTTTTTAAGATTTCCAATTTAGAGGGATCGTTTTCCTGGTGATAGTTAAAGAAATAAGGGATATGTTTGTGCTGTCAGCTGGTGTTATATTACTGAGCAAACAGAATGATGAAGCTGGAGGGATTCTACAGATCAAGATAGTGGAGAGTTTCTCTGTCACCGGTATCCAGAGGGAGTGAACTGTTTGGCAGGTGCATTGTCAACAGGTGTTTGTATCCTTTAAGCCCATTTTAAAAACTTTTCCTTAGATGACAGGAGTCCTGTACTGTGCTGACGTGTCTTGTACTGCTGTACATTTGTGTTACTGGTCACAGAGAAGATTATTATTATAGATTTTGGTCCAGAAGTCAAGGCTGGTGGAGAGAGCCGAGCTGTTTATAAGTGTACTGTAAGGATGAGTGTGTCTTTTGAAGCTGGCATCGGTCAGAAAGTCCCCTCACCTGGGTTAGAGGACTACACTATCTGATCTGATAGGTGTGACACATTGTCCATGTTAATATGAGTTGATTGGGATTTTCGGCTGTCTGTGCTCGTTCTGGTCCTTATCCTGTTAGTTCGATCTTGGCCTTGGCCATAACAATGGAAAGAAAAGGCTGCTTTGAACTCGTCACGGAATTTTCCTGGGGAAAGATAAGAGAAATGTGTAATGCCCAGTTGAAACTCTTTATACACCTTGTATCAAAAACGGCATTTATCATAGACATTATGGCCTACAGTTAGTAATTAATATTTGGAACAGTTGAGTGACTACAGATTCATTATACATATATATACATTATTAGAAAAGAAATGTAAAGCAGTGAGGTGTATTGTTGTTTCCAAACCGTCCACAAGAGGACAGTAATGAACTCATACAAGTGGTTTGAGTGGTGAGGCAAAGGGACAAACCTACCACTGAGGAAATTGTAGATGATAGGATTTGCTGCACTGTTGGCGTATATGAGCCAATGTGAGAAAGTGAACCATGCATACACTGTTTCTCTGTCATTTGCATTCTTGAAAGTCCCAAAGACTCTGTAGGTAAAATATGACAGCGTGTTAATTAAAGATTCCTTCATATTTTCATGTTTTTACATTCTAGGTCTTATCATTTTGAATCAAGGATTGCAGGAAACGAGCAACAATTCACAACTTGAAATCTACTGCGTCACATGAAACTACCAAGCTGAGATCTTATTCAAAATTTTTTTAATAAATGCAAAGCATCAGCCTTGGTTTATAACAGCTTCGATTGTAAATCTTTGAATGGTGTTTGGTCCTTGAAGCAGCAGAACTCTAAACACTATTACCTTTTCATGACATTGAGCACGCTGATTGGCAGGTAGCACAGGGCGAAAACAAAGAGCACCACCATCAGCATGCGCGCTGTCTTGCGTCGGGCTCGAACCTGTTTGATCTCCGCACTAGCTGTGCTGGTCCTCACCCTTACAGACACACTCTGCCCTGGAGGTGGCGCAGAGCACTGGATGGACCTCCACTTCTGCAACGCAGATGTGCTTCCAGGGATCTAATGATACATAAAATATGCGCATATATCAGGTATTGTAAACTTGCCAAAGGGAGCTCAGTTCACTGTCTGACATTTTAAACTCAGCTCTGTGAGAGCTGATGTGAATACACACCTGCTGACACCACAGCTTGTGACATATCTGGATATACGCCAGGACCATGAGACATAATGGTGCAAAGTATGTGACAATGAAGAAACAGGTGTGATACACCTTTGGGTAGATCTCAGCTGTTAGAAGGATAAAAAGACAGAATAATGTTATTTAAAAACTCCTTCACACTACTTGTTGCTATGCCAGTCAGCCTTTTCATTCCCACGATAACAGTATCAGATTTATCACTCGCATTTCACAGCAAGTTTTCTAACTGTGGATCTTTGACTTCACACAGGAGTAAACAAAAGCAAGTTTCTCATTTCTAGCTGATGACTGAAATAACAGTTGTCACTGGCAGATTTTTATCAGGCATAAAATAAATGCTAAAACCTTGTGAGTTGGTTAAAAACTGTCTATGTTTTAGTATTTAAAACTGTTAGTACCTATAATTAACCCAAAGACCCTAAGAAAACCAAAACAATAGCACTGCCATAGCATTAAAGGAATCATAATTTAGTTTTAGCCATGATATTTACCAGTTTATTCATGGCATATTGACTCCTGCCATACTGTAGGTGCACGTCAGGAAATGCTGCTAACGGTCATATCAGAGAGTATGGTCCTTATGGTTGGCGGACTGGTCAGTGGTAAACTAGGTAGTCGGCATGCCAACATTTGTAGCTTACATTATTGTGCACAATGTTTCCATGTGTTTGAAAGGAATTTGTGAAAACTGACCTCCCCAGTGTTCATCACACACTGTGAACAGGCTGGTCTTGTTTGTGAGTTCAGGTAGCAAACTGCTGCTCTCCATCACAATAGCTTGAGGGATCATAATGATGCATGACACAACCCAGATGAGGGCAATACTCTGGCGAGCCCTCTTGGCTGTGCTTTTGAACATTAGTGGATGGCAGATAGCATACCAGCGGTCTTGGGCGATGCAACTCAGTGTTAGAACTGATACAGAAACAGAGATGGTCTGGAAATGAAGAAAAGAAACTTAAGTTCAGCGGCATATTTACCCACACTGATTTAAATGAGCACAGTTGCGGCTATACTACTTTGAATAGACCTATGCTTAGGATTCCATGTCAGTGCACACGTGTGGACCGAGAGACAGCATAGAAGAAAATGTACGTTTAAGGAACCAGCAAGGAACAGCTGCCAGGCTGACAGCAGGGTCACAGATTTAACTCCTGCTTTCTCTTGATGTTAAATGGTAAATGGACTGTATTTATATAGCGCTTTTATGCACTGGCCAAAGCGCTTTACAGGGAGATTATACACCATTCACCCATTCACACACACATTCACGACAAGGCTGCCACACAACGGCTCTAGTCAAGCCACCGGGAGCAATTTGGGGTTCAGTGTCTTGTTCAGGGACACTTAGGCATGTGGGGAGACCAACCACCAACTTGCTGGTCAGAAGACGACTTGCCCTACCTCGTGAGCCACAGCCACCCCAAATTCAGGTTCCCCCTGTCGTAGCGGTGGTAAATTACTGAGGATATTTGTATAAATTTCCATTCTCTGCTCCCTTATTTTTGCATCTTTGAACAGGAACACCTTAAAATGCATATTGCATGAGACCAAACGTGCACATTCTTAGTAAATATGAATGCATGCAATTTCAGTTTAGTGCAAAAAATTTGCCGCAAAACCTTAGTAAATATTCCCGAAGTGTATAGAGCTAAATACAGAGATACCAAAGAAATAAACATTATTTCTTGTTTCAGCAGTTAAAGGATGAATGTCAAAACATCCTCTATCAATTTTGTATTATGACATGTTGAAACTGTCCTTGACTTTTGGCATCACTGTGATGAGGAATGTAACAGCACAGTGACTGTTTTTATCTGTGTTTTCTATCTGAATTCCTCATATACATCAAAAGATACTTGCTGCCTTGAGTTTCATAAAACATGATATAAGCTTTTGTGGAGGCCAAGCACACCGAGTCGGTCCAGCATTGAGCAATGGCCCCATGATCATCAAGCACTGTATAAAGCCTATAAAGCAAAATCACAGATGGGAGTGAGTCTAGGGCTAGATAGCAGGTTCCAGTTAGTCTGACAGGGCAGGGGATCAATGGCAATCTTCTTTGTCTTCTTCTTGCCTTTTAGAATGAAGGCAGTTTAATTTCACCACTATCTGAATTACACACCTGCTTTGCTCTATAGGAGAGTTTGGGGAAGGCTGAGCTGTACCAGATGATGGATCTGTGAAACTAGACCAGCATTAATGAAAGTTCCTCTGCTGGATGCTCTTATCCAATTTTAACATGTTGCAATGGTTGTCTCCAGGATTTTCTTACAGCTCACCACCATGCGAGATACATGTTAAATATAAGCCTGGATTCTATTGCAGTCATTTCCAGTGAGAAATAAACGCCATGCTTCATAACTTTGAAATGTTTAGCTTAAGGACATCAGTGGTATATTAAATCACTTTTGCTGAATAATTTCCTTCATTTAAAAGATCTAAAGAAGAGGGAGGAGAACAGTGCTGTCACATAATGGTGCTCTGCTGTACAGAAAATCAGCAATGCATTGAGAGAGGTATGCTGAGCTTGAATTTGATCCGGAATGGTGTCATTAAAAGCTGAGTATGATAACGTGATGCAAACATAGAAGCTACATGGAGTCTGTATACAGAGTGGACCAGCATGTAGGCAAACTACAGGGCATCAGGGGCAATTCTAGATATGACAGCCAAGATACTCGTAGTGTAAGTTTGTCCTTGTTTGGAAAGGATAAAACTGTATATTTTGATTACAGCTGACAAATCCCATAAAATGACCGAAGTCAACAGGGATCAATCCCCTAACAGGTACTGTTTATGTAGCCAAAGCTGAGCAGATTCATGTGTAAAAACAACAGTGTCCGGCCCATTTTTAACAAAACCTTTTTAACCAGCAAGTGTTTATATACAGATGCTTTTGTAAAAATGCTAAAATGCCGAATTTCAAGTGCTGATTATGAAACTTTTTTTTTGCAGTATTGCATAAAGTGAACTTGTTACATTCCAATAAAACCATCTACTACTTATCGACAGTATCGACAATTTAAATTTCTACAACACCATTGGCTGAGGATGATCGTTTTTGAAAACTCCACAACAGTTACTAAATAGAGTTTCAGTAGGATTTTGTTGGGTTCTAGTTTAAATGCTTAACTATTTAATGCAGTTTGGCAACACTGTTGATAAGAGTTTGAAACTACAGATTCTAGAAAGAGGTTGCTGAGTTACAGCACTGTGCTCTTACCCTGAATACTGACAAGTCGCCATATCTTGTAGTAACCAAGTCAAGGTCTAAATCTTCTGCCTTCTTTATTCTTTATTTATGTAACCTGCCCAAGGCATGAAGTCACATGGGTTGACATCAAAGGTTTCACATAGTGTGCATCTCATGGGATTTGAGAGTTTTCTTTTCCACTTATGAATACAGAGAAAGAAGGAATAATTGAAACACAAGAGCCTTGGTCTGTATTTCTGTCTTACCTGCAGATAAGGCACAACTTTACAAAGCATGTTTCCAAAGAACCACGTCTCTGTGATGTCTACCACAAGACTCGCAGGCAGGCAGATGATGGTGACCAAGACATCAGCAAATGAGAGATTGACTATGAAATAGTTGGTCACAGTCCGCATGTGACGGTTTTTCCACACTGCAAAACAAACTGAAAATGATGCACAATCAAAGACTCAATAAAATAATATATCACATCAATTCAGTTTATTTAATGTTAATCACCGCTGTCTTGAAGGCATGCTGTCAGATTACATTGAATTCAAATGTAATTATAGTAAAATGCGGGTTGATACAATAAGTGCCGTAAATGTAAATTAATGACAATAAACCCCTGTGTTTTGTTTAATGCAGTTAAACACTTTAGGAAAGGAATTCTTGAATTTAATTGATTCATTTGGTTTTACTCAATTTAGACTTAGACTCACACATCAGCCTATCACATCACAGGAAAGGAGTAACCAATCGATAACAGACAATGCAGACGTACCAAATAAATAAATCCCTACAAACAGTGGGAATACTGAAATGCAAATTCACTTTTGTCCTAGCAGTTATCTTCTTTTTGATTTGTGGCTAAATTTGAGTGGAAAATGATAAATTTGCATTTTGTCATTATCACTGAACAGTGGTGGAAGAAGTACCCAGATGTGATGTGAAAAGTAGCAGTATCACAGTGTAAACATACTCTGCTACAAGTAAAAGTCCTGCAGTCAAAATGTTACTTAGGTAAAAGTACTAAAGTATTAGCATCTAAATATACTCAAAGTAGCAAAAGTAAAAGTAGTCATTATGCAGATTTCACAGTAATGTACTATACAGTCTTCTTCTTCTTCTTTTGGCTGTTCCCGTTAGGGGTCGCCACAGCGAATCATCTGTTTCCACCTAACTCTATCCTCAGCATCCTCTACTCTCACCCCAATTAACTTCATGTCCTCTTTTAGCACATCCATATATCTCCTCTTTGGCCTTCCTCTTGACCTCTTGCCTGGCAGCTCCATCTCCAACATCCTTCTACCAATATAACCACTATCCCTCCTCTGCACATGTCCAAACCATCTCAATCTGGCCTCTCTGACCTTGCCCCCCAAAACAGCCGACCTGAGCTGTCCCTCTGATGTTGCTCATTCCTAATCCTGTCCATCCTGGTCACTCCTAAAGAGAACCTCAACATCCTCATTTCTGCTACCTCCAATAATGTACTGTACAGTATATTGTTATAGTTATTGATGTATCATTGTGTTCATCATACTCAAGCAGCCAAATAAGAAAAAACAACTTCATTTATATTGATAATTATCAGTATCAGTTCCCCTGATCTGCCATCTCTTAATTACATTTCTTACTGTGGAAACTGCAAGCTGACAACGCTTTGCTATCTTCTTGTAGCCTTCTCCTGCATTGTGGGCATCAATAACTTTCATTTTCAGGGTCTTACACAGCTGCTTAGAGGAACCCATGGTTGCTGGGTGTCCACAAGTGTGTGCACAAGGTTTGAAGAGTCAAGGTATTTGTACAGCTTTGAAATTGGCATTTACCAATGACAGCTGTTGCTGTGCATCAGATCTAATGAGCTGATTAAGGTCTGAAACCTTGTGAGAGACTTTGAGACTCTGGAACTCTTAGGGTGCCCAAACTTTTGCACCATGCCATAATAATGTTTTTATTTTTTATTTTTGTTCAATTTATGGCATAAGAAGTAACTATGCATCACTGTTTGCTGAAAATATTGTGCATTTTTTCCATTTCCAAGAGAAACTGTGTTAACATCTGTTCAAATAAAAAATCACCAAATATTGTTATTTATCAAGGGGTGCCTAAACTTTTGCATAAGACTGTATATATATATATGTGTTGCCATATCGTGTCTTCTATCACTAAACCTAGAACCCAGCTGTGGTTTAATGAACACACTCAAGCTGATGTGCAACAATAGGAAGGCGAATAAGCTATTATTTAATTTAGATTTTGTTAAAATGCATGTACGCAGATCAGACGGCAAGATCATCAGATCTCATCTCTAAGAACTGCTGTAATTCTTAAACCTTGTTCATTGTAATTCAGTCCGTCACTAGTTCCCTTATTAACCAGAAGATTGAGTCATTCCCTGAAAAATGTTCTCACATAATAAATTAATAAGATCTCTCTTATTAGGAACCAGGTTTCATCTCTTGGTGGCAATCACTCACTCTCACCATTCTAGCAAAGCCCTACTCATCTTTCCCACTTTGAACCTATATATAGTTCATCCTTAGAAAAAAAAAGATATATGTCAGTATCACACCTAGTTTCTATTACAGATCCTCTCCTTCTTTGGCCCATACATTTTACACATAATAAACAGCTCACTGACCAGCAGCTGTTTCCTCCTACTTCAAACACATTATTTATCCGTGTTTAAAGAATCCTAATCTTGATGTCTTGGACCTTTATAGTTAGGACGCTTTCAGAATACTTCCAGCTGCGCAAGGATGGTTTGACACATACTTGCATAGCAAAACATGGTCTGAAATTTTGTAACATGACGCAAAGCGTGTTATTTCATGAATTTTCCATAGGGGTGCTGATGCAAATGCTGTACTGTTACTCTACTCTGAAGAGAGGAACTGTTTCCAATATCAACAAAACAGGGCTGCACACCTCTTTCTTTTTATATTTTTTTTTACTGGGGATAATTTAGCAGAAGCAAAATGATGCACTCTTCTTGACCAGCAATTTTCACTTGTGCCAGATAAATTGCGTGACATGATTCACTACACTTCTCGTCTCTTCAGTTTAGCCTGTAGCACTTTGTAAAATCTCCTGAGAAAAACTCCTTCTGAATCTGTTTATGCAGCTGATTCCACAACATTTCCTGTCTCCCATCATATTCATATCCTCTGTAGATGCAGCATAAGGACACAATTTCTCATGTTATGAGAGTTAGAATTATCTGGATGGAGTTTTTGATTGGAGTTTTGTGGTCAGTATGTCAATCAGTCTGCATGTCTACCAAACTGCTACTAAATAAGCAGTAAAGTGCATCCTAAGTGGGTATCTGAGTTTCAGTTTGTAATGCATTTGTCAACCACTGCACCTTCTGCTGCCAAAGATGCAAACATAACAGCAATGAATCGTGTACTGTGATTGTCCGGCGCCGGCAGCGATGGCAGCCTTGGTTACTCGCGCTCTCTTGTGTTTGTTGTTTTTCTTTGTTTTCTTGGTTTTGTGCAACTCATCCCGGATTACTTTTACCAGAGAAGAACTGATTAAATATCAGACACCTCACACTGAACTACCTTCCTCCAATTTTTGTGAACGAAGAATGCTGATCGGAGGCGCGGCGGCAACATATGGGACCACTGTGGAAAGCGTACGGGTGCCTTGGTGATGCTACGCCAGAGAGGGACATGGACTCCACTCCTTCACCTGGCAAATCTCCGCTCCCTGGTCAACAAGATGGATGAAATTCTTCTCATCAACAGGACCAACTCTGACTTTGCACGCTCTGCTGCTTTGTGCTTCATGGAGACCTGGCTGAGCGACTCAACAGCGGACAGCGAGATACAAGTACTGGGCTTCCAGGTGTTCAGAGTGGATTGTGTAAAGGAGCTGTCCAGGAAAACGAGAGGAGGTGGAATCTGCTTCTACATAAATGAAGGTTGGTGCACAGATGTCACAGTGCTACAGAGGACATGTACCGCAGACCTAGAGATTCTTGTTATCAACTGCAAACCCTTTTACTTTCCCCGTGAATTCAACAGTTTCATGCTAATGGGAGTGTACATAAGACCACAGGCTAACGCTAGCGTGCTACAGCTCCTAGCAGAACTGATAACTAGCCTGGAGCTAGAACATCCCGACTCTCCACTCATTGTTCTAGGAGACTTGAACAGAGCAAATCTCACCCACGAACTGCCAAAATACAGACAGCACGTCACCTGTCCCACCAGGGACAAAATCACACTGGACCACTGCTACACAACAATAAATCACTCTGTCCCCCGCGCATCCCTCGGACTCTCTGACCACTGTATGGTCCATCTTTTTCCAACCTACAGGCAGAAACTAAAAGCTGCGAAGCCTGTAGTCAAAACAGTGAAGAACCACATCCAGCACCCAGACTCAGCACAGGTGCTCCCCAGGGATGTGTGCTCTCCCCTCTGCTGTTTTCACTCTACACTGACGACTGCATCTCGAAGGACCCCTCTGTCAAGCTCCTAGAGTTTGCAGATGACACAACGGTCACCACCACCCCCACTTACCATACTTGGCAGCACTGTATCAGCAGTAAAGTCCTACAAGTTCCTGGGCTCCACCATCTCCCAGGACCTGAAGTGGACGTCCAACATCAGGACCATCACCAAGAAGGCACAGCACAGGATGTACTTCCTGCGCCAGCTCAGGAAGTTCAATCTGCCCCAGGAGCTGCTGATACAGTTCTACAGAGGAATCATCGAGTCTATTCTCTGCACCTCCATCACTGTCTGGTTTGGCTCAGCAACCAAACAGAACAAGTACAGACTTCAGAGGACAGTCAGGACTGCAGAAAAGGTCATTGGTGTGAGCCTGACCTCCGTGGAGGACCTGTACACCTCACGGGTCAAAAGGAGGGCGGAGAGGATCACTGCAGACCCCTCACACCCCAGACACAATCTGTTTGAACTCCTCCCCTCTGGATGGTGTTACAGGTCACTGTGCACTAAGACAACCAGGCACAGGGACAGTTTCTTCCCCCAGGCTGTCACCCTGATGAACACTTGACCCATGACAGTATGACTGGACAATAACCCTCAGTGCAATACCTGTAAATATACCTCATACAGATTATACAGACTTGTACAGGTCTCTAGTTTTAAGTACTCTGTTTTTATCCCTATTTATCTCATTTCAATGAACATTCCTTTGTTGTCTGCATTGTTTACTGTCTGTTTATACTGCTTTTTCTGCAATGTTTGCACTGTTTGTTGATGTTAATACTGCTATTTTGTTATATTACACAGCCTTATGCTGGTTTACTGTTTGCACATTGAGAGCCGATGTAACCTGAGTCAGATTCCTCGTGTGTCCGACACACCTGGCCAATAAACTGACTCTGATTCTGATATACCTCCTCTTTTTCACCCTCTACTTCTGTCATAAAAGTGGATGATGGAGGAGTTGATAGTTCTTCAATGATCCCTGCCTGTTGCTGACCCCTTTAATCAAATGCCACTCAAAGTTAAATCCTGTCTCATTGTCGTATTTCAGATCCTGTTGAACCACTGAGGAACATTACAATCAAAAAGCCATTTTATTTCAGGTCCAGGACAAGCAGAGTGGAGAGAGTGCAGGTCATCATAAATCCAATCACGTTGTGATCTGTCAAACAAAACTGTTTGACAAAGCCTGATGTAAAGATCTTTGTCTGATTTACATCTTGTGACATAAAGTCATTAGCCAAAGGCTCCAGTTTCTGAGAGTTTCCCCAGTATTACCCAAACATCTTTATCCTTACTGCAGCTGAGCTTTTCTGATTAGAGACAATTAGCCAAAGTTGCTTGTTTTCCACTCAACCTGTGGTAAAACATCACATAAAAACTATGCATGCTTTAAAAAATGACCAGCATGTTCAGTGGGATTGATGTAACAGACATTCTCCTGTTGTTGTACCTGTTGGATAACTACAAATCTTGCTCTTAATTTTTAGTTGGAGTTTTTTTTTTTTTTCGTTTGTCCTGTACCCTGGATCTTTTTTTTGAGTGAGAGAAAGACAAAAATGATAGTTTTATTTATATTACAATTACATTTTTCATTTTAAAAAATTACAAAAATGTTTGCGTATCCTGTAAATTGAAGTTCTTAGAAAACTGGAATCGGCCAATATCAGAACTGGCAGGTCAGACTGAGCCAAGGGAATTGCATTTGGTGCATTTCTAATTAAAAGTTGTTCATGATGTCATTAGTATACATTGGTTTTTCTTTACTCTTGTATTGCTGAGGTCCCAAAATGGCTCATCACACATTGCTGTTTATTTTACATAGCTATGAGGAAGTTTTATGAAAGCTTAACCATGTTCTATAGAGATTCTCTTTGAAATGTAGAGGCATTTCTGGGTTCAGTTTTTAAAATGATCCACTTTTAGTGGCTGTGCTGCTGTTAACAACAGGTAGCCTAAAGATTGTGTTTCTATTGGCAGTTGTTTCCGCTGTGCTTCCCATCTGAATGAGACAATTATGGGAACCTGTCAGCTGTAGCTCAGAGACTAATGCCAGCCTGAAATGCAGCACACCCACTGATTTATTGGGTAAACACATGCAAATTTCATTGGTAGTCTGCTGAGCAACTTCTACAATCCCCAAGCCATAATTGCTCAAGCAGCATGCTAAACTTATAACATCACCCTAACACACAGCAGGCACTCTACACATGTAGGTCAAACACATTATAAGATGTATTTTGGCAGTCTGCTCTGTTTTCTTTTTATTTAGTGGACAAGTCTACAGTGGTATTGGTGTGATACTGCAATTACAGCAATCGGAGTACAGAGTTCCCTGAGTTTATTCCAGTCCATATGTCCTTTATACTGAGAGATGTGCTAGACTGAGCTATGTAGACTGATTATTGCTATGAATTATCTGAAACACTGAGTATATGTGTTGTTCCAAAAAAACGACAGTGTATCTTTTAAACTGTAACAACCTAATATCTAGATTTTTTGGACTCACTCAGGCCAGTTACTTCATTTAATAGTGACACAAGATCTTTAAATATGTACAATAATGTTGTTTTAATTTTTATTTTATTTATGGGGATGGATTATAGTGACATTATGGTTATATATATACAGATATATATTATATATATACGCGCACA